ACCTTGCTCTCCCCACGCCACTCGCTTCCACTCAAGCAATCTGCTGGAAGCTGCAGCCACCTGTTTTCAGTATCAACGACTCATTTTTTGCTTGCTAACGTTTCTGAGGAAAAAGCCATAATTTGCTGTCAGTTCCCCACTACCTGGTCACAAACTTTCCATGACTCACAGCTGTCAGGAAGATAACATCCAATTGCTGCATCTCACCGTCAGACTCTGCCATGGTCTGATCCCCATGGACCTGTTCTTCCTTCACGCACCAGCGCTCTGCCCCCGTCAGACTTGTCCAGGAACTGTTTCCTGAACAAGCCCTGCCCTTTCTAGTCCACAGTACCTTCGCTCAGACTGTTCTCTTGCCCGGGACTACCTTCCTTCCAGCCCTTTAGTGCCCCAATGACCCCAACCACACCCTTCCTATGAGGACAAACCTAAGCCACTGATGTCCACTGTCACCCACAATGACTGGCACCCCCAGCCCTGCTTTCACCCCTCTGACCTCATCTCCTACCATTCTCCCTACTCCTTTTTCTGTGTTCCAGCCACACTCTCCTCCTTGCTGCTACTCAGCGTGCCAGAGACACTCTGCTTCAAGGCCTTTCTACTTGGAGCAACTTCTGCCCTCAGACATCCTCAGAGATGACTTTCTGAGCCACATTTTTGGAACTGCCTTTGGGACTCCCTTCACACACATACACTCACTCCCCCAGTCTCCCCCCTGGTTTAGTTAGCATTTGCCATTGTCACTATCTAGCAGAAGTGTCTTCCACTTATTTACCTTGCTTTTTGTCTATCTTACTAAGTAGAATGTAAGTTCCGTGATGGCAGGAATTCTTGTTTGTTCCATTCACGGCTGAATAGGCGCTGCCTAAAGAGTGTCCGCCACAGAGTGGATGCTACCAGGTTATTTATAAAGTGAATGAATGAATGGATGAGTTCCTCTTACAACTCTCACTGCATATATTGCATATACTGTCCATTTGACACTTAAAATTATCTTATATAAGTACTAAACTCTAGTTAATAATATGCTGAAATGTTTAGGGATAAAGGATACTGTTGTCTGCAACTTGCTTTTAAATGCATCAAAAAAGTAAGATGGTTTAATCAATGGATAGAAGATACGTAGCAAAGCAAATAGTGTTTGGGAAAATGTCAATTATAGAATCCAGGTGGTAGTTATATGGTGTTCTCTGTACATATCATTCCATTTTTTATGTTTGAACATTTTTATAATAAAATTTGGAGAAAGAATGACAATGCTTTAGAGAGGCCTTCTCTGACTGTGCAAACTTCGGTTGCCCACAAGTATTCTACATCGCATTCCTTTATTTTATTTTCTTTATAGTATTTATTACTAACTGATGTTGTGTTGATTATTTTGCTCATTGTTGCCTATTTACTTTCCTAGAAGAACGCAAGCTCCCTGGGAACCAGAATATTATGTGACATTTTCTGCTGTTTGCCCTTCACCTAGAATATTGCCTAGAACATAACAGGTGTTTAATAACTACTTAAGTAATTTAAATCAATGAATAGATCCCTCATGATATTATTTATTATATTACTTATCAGTTTGCACAAGAATGTCTGCTTTGCAAACAGATTCTTATTTCCTTGAAAACAGAACTTTTTTGCAGCTTTCTTAATATTTAACAAGTTTTAAGAGCACAATAAAGCCTTACATTCTCTCACATTAATAAATAACACAATCTATTGACAGGTCAGTATTTTTCAATTATGTAATACGATATGAATGAAAGATTTTTATCCTTGTATTATTATTATTTAGCTTCCATATCTTTAAAAGGGGAAGAATTAAAAGCTTTTGGGTGAAGATGGCCACATGAAAATATTCTTTCTAGGTCACATGCTTTTATAAATTAGAAATGAACTTAGAGATAATTTACAATGAAACTTTCATTTCGGAGATGAAGAAAATAAGACTCCAAAAATAAAGCATGACGACTCAAACATTCTGGAGGGAGAATTCCCAGAATTCTCCCAATTCCCAGTTTCTACCCCGAGAGTGGGAGAATCCCGGTCTCTGGAGGCTGGTGGTGTCTCTCCGGCTGTCTCCTGGCCACGGAAATCACCCTATGTTGACTCAGTATTAACTTTTGGATGACAAAACTTTAAAGAAGTTTTTGCTAATAATATCTTGGCTTGAAGCATTTGTTCTCTTTCCAAATCCAAGTGCTCTTGTTCCTATCCCAGATGGCCATAACCACCTGGAAGGTTTGTTTCAGTCTCTTCTCTCCCACTATTCCCTTGCCAACTGTTCTCTCTCGCAACCTCTGAGAATGCTGTAGAAAGAAGACCGCCCCCCTCAGAAAGACGGAGATTCGGAGCAGAGGAGAGAGAGGCTGCATGGCTTGCATGGGGCACTGCCACGTGATCTGGGGAAAATCCAGGGGACTCTCTGCTCAGCCATCAGCCACACTTACCTTTCTCCCAACTACCACTGCCTTTCATTCAACTCAAAGGATTGTCATTCACATAAAAACTGCAAAGGACTCTTGAGAACAGAATCATGAAGAAAAGCTGTTTGGACAACTGTTTTCTCAGCACACTAAAGAAGATAATTACATAAGCTACTTTAAATTCAGGAATGTGGAAAGCCTTTTTGAGAGCCCGGGGGTTGCATACCTAACCATAGGAAATGACAAGAGAGGAAATTAATTTTGTTCATAATACCTTCTCTTATAAAGCAGTCTTTGTATCATGAACTGAAGTGTAGAAGAAAAAAAAATTTACTTTGCAAAGTTCGATCCATGCTTACAAAGTCCTTGCAAGACATTTACTGAGAGCCCGTCCTAGCAACATGCTGTAGGTAAGGCCTGTGGGTTTTAGCCTTTGACGGCCTCTGAGCTCTTTTCCCCACTACTCGTCAGTGTGGACCTGCCAAGCTGCTCAACTTGCCATGCCCCAGCTTGCTTTCTTCTTTCAGGACTACAGGCTTTTGCAATTTCTTCTGCCTAGAATGCCCATAACTACTTCTCTGCCTGCTGAAATCCTACTCTTTCCTCAAGGTATAAAAATAGCAACAATGACAAGAAGTGCTTAATGTATTCAAAGCACTATATGTGTGTGCATACGTCTAGGTATATACAGTATTTATATATTTTTAATCAAGTATCACATATTTAATATGTAATAAAGTATATGATTAATACATAACTATCTAAATAATATAAAGTAGCAAATTATAATTAAATATGTTCATATGTAATACACATTGTCATATATCCTTATATGTGTATATTATATATAAATAAAATCAATTTTTTAATCATAATGACTTCCTTACAAGATATTATCTCCATTTTACAGATAAGTAAACTGAGGCACAGAGGAGTTAAGTGATTTTCCCAGGATGAAATAGATGATAAGGGACAGAGATGGGATTTAAAAACCAAATAGCCTGGCTTTAAATGCCAAGGTGTTAACCACAGTTTACTGTTCAATGTGTTCAAAATCAGCTACTGCTACAGAGCCATCCTGGCCTCTCACAACAGAACATTTCTTTATTCTGTCTTCCCACTGCACTCTGTACATGTCTCATTTGACTCCCTGTCCAGCAATTTCTTTTTATCACATGTATGTATCTTCTTACTTCTACTTTTCATTTCATCCTCTACCACCCCAGATGAAGAAAATTGGGGGAAGAACTTCCTGTACATTATTTTTATATTCCTTGCACAAAACACAATGGCCAGTACATAGTAGATGCTCAATAAATTTTTGTAAAAGGAGTGAATGAAATAGCTTTAAAAGGGGTCAATAGAAATGTGGGTGATGTGTCTGTTGGCACAGGATAGAAGACATGCTTCCCAGAGAAGTTAAAAAGACCGGAAAGTGCATGGACCAGAGTGTCCTCAAGGTACCTGGGTCACTCTGATTGCATGAATTAATCCAGAAGCCTTTTGGGTTGAAGTTGGTTTCTAAATAGGTATACCTTTATTCAATAAATGTAAGCTATGTCCTAACTCTGTAGGCATAGTTAATCAGTATTTCAAATTTCTTGACCTATAGGGTTTTAATTTACAGGGAGAAGACAAAAAATTCAACAGTGTAAGCAATTTACTCCCAATGAACACGACAGATAATTCTCATGGGGATTGAAAGGAGGAAGAGGTCATATGTGATGGTAACAGGAAAGGCAACACAGAGGAGGTGAGAGTTAAGGGATAGGGAGGTGGGTGAGTGGAGGGATTTGAAAAGTCATTCTAAGGATGAGCAAAAGCACATTGTACCTCCCAACAAAAAGAAACTAATATATTAACCAGCCTTACACATACTGGCCCACCAGTTATCTATATTTCTCACTGTAAACTATTAAATTACTCTCTTATAAGGTTCAAAATCCAATGAGTTTATTCTGTATAAATAATTTACCTAAGGTTTTATTATTCCTAAACAAACCATCAAATTTTCAGAAACGCAACAAACCTGGAAATACAAAGATAACAATAACCTCAAGACCATTCCCTCCGATCTTACACTACCATAGTCCTAATTATTTGAGGATTATCTGTGACAGAAATATTCCTTCAGAGAAACATATTACTAAATATGTAATTTGGAATAGTTTGAATTTCCCAACATTTTTTCTTTGGATTTGCTTACCTGTTCTTTCTCTCTCTCTCACTTCTCAGGTTTCACATCTCCCTTCATCCTCCCCAATTTTTTGTATTAGACCTACTTGCCAATGGAGTCCAAAGGCATTGCTTAATCCCACTGCTATCACTTGGAGCAACAAATGAGATTAACGTTTCATTAGTATTTAATGTAATACCTCAACCAAAGTTTCTATTAATAGATATCAGAATGATTTTAAAAATTAAGACAAAAAGAAAAATGAAAAATGAAACTTTCTGTTTATATAACAAAACATTCTATATATAAAGAAATACAATGTTCCAAGTGTTAAACCCAACTTTCCAGAATAAATAGATTTTACCTAACATAAGGTTGAGACATAATTCTGCAGTGTTACTCACTTGATTGAAAATAAAGGGGACTTCTTTCTTCTCCCCCACTTTCATCGAAGATATAGGAAACGTTGCTGTCCCTAGAGTTTCATCCATGACATAATTGGCATCCATTAGAGTGATCTAGAGGGTAAAACGTAGAGCACACGGATAAAATTTCTCACAGATCTTTGGAAATATTACCTAAAGTCTCCATCATAGTTAAAAAATTAAAGTTCTCAAACTATATTTAGCCATCATTTGAGTTCCTCTATATCCAACTGGTAATAATACTTTTTATCTTTTCCTTTCTGACACTACATTTGCTATAAGATAACAATTATTTTTCACATTTTCCTGATTGATATATTCAATTATCATGCTTTCAGAAATGAAATCTTATCCCCTCTGTATTTTGGAATATAAGAAAGAAATTAATGTAGAAAATCAATTCCACAATTTTGGGAAAAATCTATTGTAAGTTATTTTAAAAGAAATTGAAAATATTTTTGTTCTGTTGTACAGAGATTCTCCCCTTTACAACAGAAAATGTTTTCCCCGAAGCACATGGGTAGGATAGAAGTCTCCCCAAACCCACCTAACTCCTGCATTTCCACTGGACGCTCATATTACTTGGCATGCATCATCAGATGCTAGTCTACCATGCTGCTCAGCCTGACCCCAACTACAGCTAACAGAAGGAAGGCAGTAAGAGAACAAACTCAAACATCTCTCTCAACGTGAATTATGACCATCTAATAACCCCCAAATGATTCACTTACCTCCAAAACATTTTCCTGATTAGGATCCAAAATAAATTCAAAGGTCTCATTCCACACAGGGTTTATATCATTATTGAAGTGTCTTGTTCTTTTTCTGCTGTCAGGGGTTGTAGAGATGAAAAGTTCCACGTAGGGATCTGGAGTATCAACTATGGACAGAGGCAAAAATGTGATTCACACTTCCTAATTGGTTTTTATTAGTATATGTTGCCAGCTTATTTTCAATGAATCTATAGCGATGTATTCAAAATATCTGAGACAAGATAATATGTATGTTAAAGAAGAACATCATAGCTATATACTTTTCACATATTATGGTCCCTGTCCTTCATAATAGTCCGGTGAGACAGAGCCATTTCTCAGGTGATTTATTCAGAATTCCTCCATCCACATAGAGGGCAGGTTCATCGAAGTCCATATCTCAGTCCAGCTATTAGGAGATGATAGCAATCTCACCCAGCTAACTACAGCATGACTTTCACCCCAGAACTGTGATGGTGCCAAGATCATACATTCAATACTGTGGTACTTTTCTATGTTAGAAAAATCATCCTGGTTAGTCTCTTTATCAAATAAGATAATGAAAATCATTGTGAGAGGGTATCACTTATTATTACAGGGTCACCTTGTATGGTTGTACAGGTTGTACACTGAACAACTATAACAGGTGGCATTCATATTAATAGTCATATAGATTTATTATGACAATACCCAATCAGATGAAAGTGATGTGTCTCCAGAAAGCAGCAGATTTTTATGTTTCACATAATGGCTTGCTTGAGTCAGGACATGATATGTGTGCTCATTTAAATAAAAAGTAACAATTGCAAATAAAGAAAATATTTACATTTCCTCTCACTATATACACATTCAACAACAAAGTGAGTGACTCAAGCAGTACAAATATTGATCACTCCCTCTTAGCGATTCTATTGAATCCTTTATCTTACAGCAGCGCATAAACATATTTTGTGGAAGAAATTATACAGCCATCTGTCTTCCTACAATACTGTAAACAACTTGAGGGGAAAGATTGTATCTTACTCATCTTTACGTTTCCATATCCTAGCAACAGAAAGCAGCTATCACAATATTTAAGGTTTCCTAACATAAGGTCCTGACTTTTTTCTTTAACATATTCTTTCCCATGTGGACATTATAATTAATAACGACAAAAACGATATCTAAATAATGCCTACTAGGATCTGTGTTAAGCACTTTACGCATGTTAGTTTTATTTAAATCTCACAATAGCACTGTAAGGTAAGTACTTTATGTTGGTATTGAGGCCACAGGAACTGAGAGATGTTAAGCAGTCTGTCCCATATCACACATCTAGTAAGTCTCAGGGCAAGATCTTGAACCAGGGTCTTGTAACCACAAGAATCATTCTCTTAACGGCATTGTGTTCTTAAGCAAAAAGGATGAGATCATAAGGAATGGATTACTGTGGACAGAGGAGCTGGACTTAGAGTTTTGGAGCAGAGAAGGGAGAGAGGGAAAGAGAGAAAGTGAGAGCAAGAGTGCGGGGACAGGGAGAGAAGGAGGTGCAGAGGTCCACACAAAAACATACAAAAATTTGAAAATAAAGGAAAAGGAAAAATAATAGTTTCTGAACTATTGATTGGTTTTCAAATAAAACTTAAAAATAGACCTTCGCCAACAGCTGTGGTCATCAAATAACGTAATCAGCGCCCTTCACTTAATTGATAAACACTGCTCCTAGGCCCTTCTTGGTCATCAGATTTTTTTTCTCTGAAATGCATTTTCTTCATTAAAAATCCATTTCTATGGTGATATACAGTGAATTTTTCTTGCTGCTCCTAACAGCTAAAGAGGATGCTACTCACAACAGGTAAAACAGGTTTCTTGAACCCTTAGGAAATGAAGTGTACTAGGATTTTATGTTTGTTTAAATAACAGAGAAGATATTTTTTAAGCATGCTTTTTGTTTGTACTGTAAAGTGGGAAGATTTACAAATGAGGTATCAGCATTTGGGGTTGCCTTTTAGTTAGTTTTTTAGCTTGGAGCTTATGCATCTTAGTCAAGGGCGAAGGGTCTCAAAAGTGAGCATGCAATACGGATGCCTAAGCTTCTTATAAATACACAGACCCCGACCCTCATCTTTTAAGACCTACACTCAGCAGATCTGTAGTGGGACTAGGGGGTCTGCATTTTTTTTCTTTCTTTGGGAGTGTCTGCATTTTTAAACAAACAATTTAGGTGATACTGATGTAGGTCATCTTCTGGTCACACTTTTGGTATCCTATATTGGAGAAAAGGAAACAGGCAGTTATTGTAGTTTCCAACTCAGCGCTTATATCTCTCAAGACCTTGAAAGACAAATTAGAAAACAAAAAGACCAAGTGGGAAGGAAGGGCAAGGAGAAATGGGCCAAGGAAGAAAAGCACATGCTAGGAGGCGACTCTGGCACATCCCCAGACGGGGGGCGACTGCTCCTTTCCCTTCATGTTTCTGCTATACCACCGGTGCTCAGGATTGCAAACCGGAAGTAGAATTGCATGTTTCAAACAGCAGGTGGTAGACACTTAGAAAGAAAAAAATATTCTTCCTCTTTTGAGTAGAAGTAAGTATGTGATTTTAAGGAGAATATTCAGTCGACACTTCCAATTAAATGTCAAACAACGTAACCCTTCATCATTCCATAGGACCAGTTCATTCTCACTGGGCCAATGCTCTTTTTTATCTGTTTTCCATAAATACTAGAAAACACAAAGCCAAGCAAAAAGCAATCTAGAATAGGAAAAGTATACGGGATGGGGAAGCATGCAGATGGTAAACATCATTCATTCATTCAACAAATATTTGAGTAGCCACCAAATGCCAGGAACTGCATGTCAAGAAGCAGTTTGGCTTTGACAAGAAGCCAAATCGTAAACTGCAGTTTTGAATTATGGAAGTGAGTCAAATGCTAATAGCCTAATTTTAGAGGCAAGGTGAATGAGAGAATACCAGATACACTTTACCAGTGACTAGTAGCTAAGTCACCCAGATCATTACACACAAATAAGGTCAAATCGTGGGTGGGGAAATTGCCTTTTGAAGCTTGATCTTCATATGAATCTTTGAGAAAGAGGAGGGAGAGGTCTTTTTGGACCAAACAAGAAAGAGAAAACTGCAAGTGAAGTTCCACGGAAGGAACCAGATAGGAAAAGGAAAGGTTGAATTGAAGCAGCGTGAGTCAGTTAGTGATCTAACAATCTTCTCAGACATCTTAGAGTCTAAATGGGTCATATGCTTTAACAAATTCTAACTCTCACAAAAGGATTTAAAAAATACTGTAAAAACAAGACTCCTATTTCACATTTGTATATTAAAACATCAAAGGACCTTTTTATAAATTGAAATCCAATTTAATAGCTGTCACTTTGAATTCTTATTATTTATTTTTCCTTATAAATAAAGTGA